GTATTGTGAGGTTTTTATTTTGTTGTAATATTCTACTCATCCCTCTCTAATTTGGTTTTGTAATTATTCTTTAAAATGTTGTAATAATCCCCTGCCCCGCTTCTTTCTATCCCGTTCTTTTACTTGCTTTCTTTATTTGTACATAAACATCATATTTATTTTTCATCATAGTTATGCTTTGCATCCATGTTTCATGCATCTTGATTCGGGTAAGTTTGCATTTGTGGATTTAATCAATTCCTATGTGATTATGTGCGCTACCTCATGTTCTTGAGATGATTCACATATCATATTTTAGAAGCCGAATCTTTAGTTGCATCTCATGAGTGAATTGCATTAGGGTTTTGTATATAAGATCATGCATATTTATTAACTTTGTTTTGCAGCTTGTTCGTGGGACATCAACATGTTAGTTTTTATGCTTTAGCATTCCGTGTGTGTGTTTTTTCTTACTATGTTTAGCATTCTACATGAGGCTAGTTGCTTATGTGATATAACTCTATGAATGCCAGTGGATGGGAGTTGGTCGCTTAATTTGGAATGATGTTGATTTTTCATGCTTGTAAACTCAATTTTATTGGGTTGCACATCGTCAAAACTCTTTCAAAATGCATGATATCAAATTATTCCAAAATGAATGGCGTAGTCTATACTTGTATGCTTCACATAGTAAATTTTAGGATTTATTAACTAATCAGAACATGAACATATAAATAAAATAAAATTCATATCATGGTTAGTAAAGGTCGATCTTTGATCGGGTGGCGGGGGTGCTCATTATTGACCTTCCCCTCTCATACCTAAGGTTCCGAGCCAAGCATCCTTGGTTACGACGAACAGTGGCCTTGGCACGAGTCATGGGTTTCCTAATTTTCCCAAAATAAATATTAGGTGGTGACTCTGAGATCTGATGACGCAGTCCATTTTTGACAAAATTGCAATAAAATGGATTTTCAATAAAAGTTTCCAAATCTGGACTCTCATCTACGTTTCACATTGCACTTGTGAGACTAATCAAAGAGATCTCGGAGTCCGAACTGTTTAACGCGCGCGGTACCCCCCGGGCATGTTACAGCATGCTTCCATGTTTAGACCATTTAGATGCCATCTAGATGCGTCTTTGGTCTTGTTTAGACCTGCATTGGACCTGTTTTAGGCCTCATGGCCCTTTGGACTTGATTCATATAGCTTTGGTTTAAGCCCATTGGCTT